GGGAGGAGGCTGGGGTCCGCCCTCGCCGCCGGTGGTGGCGAGGAAGCAGGAGAGAGGGGAGCCGGGGTCCCGGAGAGAGGACGACAAGGAATTGAAAAGGCCGGGAGGAGCGCGGCTGAGCCGGGGAAAGGAGAACTCCCAGAGAGGGTGTGTCAGAGGAGGTTGGGCAACGAACCAGGGGTTGCTGGAGGAAGTGCCCAAGTTTACATCATGTGCCTAATAACTCGGTGACCTCTGGTCACTTAACCTAATGCTTGCTTCTATTTTGGGCTTTTTCTTTTTTAAATTGGATTTATAACTTCAGAAATTATAGGGCGAAATAGGATAAGATGAGGTGAAATGGGATCCCAACGGATTGTCTCATGAAAATAATTTGTTTCGGGTTGGCCGGTTAGTTCAGTTGGTTAGAGCGCGGCCTTTTAATACCAACCCCAAGGGTTCAGATCCCCGTACCAGCCAGCCATCAAAAAAGAAAATCATTTGCTTTTTGTGTACAATAAGTACTGCCTAGTTTTGTCAGTTACCTTTTTTTCTTATATACCCAGTGAGGAGATTATAAACCTGCCGATTTCATTCATATGTATGAAAGATCTGGAATCTTTCTTCCCATTTTGTCTGTCACTTACTAGGCGAACAATAAAGATATGCTGATTAAAATTAGAAGATTTCTACCCAAAAATGACCTACATTACTCTCCAGCTATTATGACCAGACAAAGAGCAAGCGAGGAGAAAGGTGGGGTTTGTCGATCTCTTCATTAGGCAGCAGTTTATTTTGATAAACAAATCCAGAAAGAAGCCTGACAGCTGTCGGTTAGTGTCCTTGAAAACCTAAGTCAAGGAATTTGGCTTGCCTGGATTGACAAATGACTCACAGAGAACGCAATTAGAGGACACTTTGCCTGAGGTTCGAATTCCCGAGAAGCCACAAAAACCAGATGGAGTCACATTGCTGCCAGAAGGGCAAGAGAGGTGAAGAGAAGTGTGAGCTATCCTAGTATCAAGGCTGGTAAGAACGGCTGCGGAGCAAGCGAACGCAGAAACCCATTCCACCGCCCGGAGCCCCGGAAAACAGTAAACCATCTCCTAAAACTCCAATCCTGTTGGGCGGAGAAAGCCCAGATGGAAAGGAAGGACCTGACTGAAAAACAAGAAGCAGAAACGAAGCTAAGAAAAGCCTACATGAACGATGGCTAGGTCTGGAGGGGGGAAAGGGGCCATAATCTGGACCACGTGTCTGCATTGCTACACCCAGGGAATCAAAACAAACCCGCGTGACCCCGCCCCGCGTCGGTCACGTGACGTCGACGTGAGCGGCGCTTCCGGGATCTTCCGGGAGGAATCGTTGGGGTTCTTTCCTGTGGTACCTCTACAGACCCCCGGGTTCGGCCTGGCTCGGATCTCACTCCGCCGTCACTCCAGCTTGACTCCACTCTGGTTTCGGCGAAGTCCGCTCGCGGTAGCCATGGCAGCAGGCTCGGAGGCGAGCACGCACGTGACCCTTGCAGCCGGAGCGGGAGGGGACGAAGGTAGGTGCCAGGCTAAGGTCAGACCCTTTTGCAAACCCAGAGCCAACTGACTCTTGTGGCACCTCTCCTGTGGCCGTTTAGTTTAGCCCCACCCCATGTCTCTCTGGCCTTGCGTTAGGCTATGAAGAAATAGATCTGTTTTCTGGTGAACGTGGATTTTCTCGCATTGTGGCGTCCAGATTTTTCATTTTCCTATGGTCCCCGTATCCTACCGCATCCTACCAGTACTATTTCATGCATAAGGGTGGTTTGAATTTTAGAGTAGATTAAAATAAAATTTGCGATATTTGGAACCCACCCTTGAGGTAAATTGCAATGATCTAAGACTTTTGCGAACAGAGTTTATGATTTTTTTATTCGATTTAGGTGCAACGCTGGTTTAGTGAATGGGTGAGGTTTGGCGATTCATGAGCTTGAGATCCCTGTTAGCGTTAATTGGATGATTACGCCGTGCATGGCACTGTTATGGATACTGCCACGGGATCCAGAGACTTCTGAATGTTTATAACGATGCCTTTTCCTAAGGAACTCGCAATAGGTAAAGGAGCCTGAAAAGGAAAAAGAATAATGTGGTCACGTGAGCTAAACTCTCCGTAGTACACACTCGGTGAGGGCTGTGACCAGGAAAAGGAAAATCGTAAATGCTTCAAGGAGGGAAAAGATTGCGGTGGGCCTTTATGATTCGATGAGATAGAGAGAGACTCAGGTAGTGGTGCTGGTGTCTCAGGAAGACAGGGAGCAGAAAAGCACATGAGGGATGTATTTGGAGATCAAATTAGTTTGCCTAGAGGGGGAGATACCCATTCCAAGCAAAAGAAACAAATTATAACCTTCTACTAATTACCATTTTCTTCTGCCTTTATAATTCACTTGCTTAAGTACCCAAGGGAGACATTCTTAAACTTCATCTATATCTCCAATCCTTTGGTCCTTCCATTTTCTGTCCACAGCATCCCTTTATCTGGTTTCAACTGCGTGTCTTAGTTTATCATTATAAGCTGTCCCTTGAAAATACACTATTTTCTTTTCCTTCCCTGCATTTTATTCTGCCAGACTCTTACTCTGGATGAACCCAACCTTTTCCCCTGTGTGCACCTGAACCTATATGGCTGAACTTTGCTGGAAGAAGTCCTGTACAAATTGATTTCAGTAGAAAATGAAAATGGCCACATTTTTGCCAGACCAAACTGTCTAAAACAATCACTGTGGATTTTCTTCTACTTCCCAATCCTAGATGTTCTATAATATGAGGGTACTTCAAAAAGTTCATAGAAAAAATTTAATTACAAGATAATATTAATCTTTCCATGAACTTTTTGAAGACTCCCTGTACAACGTCTTGCTTCTGTCATTTTGCTTATCACAATCTGTAATTATTGTACTTATTATTTGTCTGTTCCATTAGACCTTAAATACCTTGAGGGCAGGACTTAGGTCTGTTTTATTCACCACCATGTGCCTGGCAGCAAGTACAATACCAGGCACATAGTGGGTACTTAATACATATTTGTTGAATCTGCTCTATGATAGTACTGGGGGAGCTGATCATGCCTCTCAGCATTGGACAGATCATTTGGGCAGCAAATCAACAGAGTAACCATTATTCTTTCAGAGGGAGAGAAGAAATCTAGGGTGATTAGAGGGGGGAGGGGGGAGAGAAAGGGAGATGAAGAGGGATTGGACAAGGGTCGTAAAGAATAATTACAATTTGTAACAATATATATGCTAGTAATATTGATTTGCTCAACATATCTCAA